ACACACACACACACACACACACACACACACACACACACACACACACAGTTTCATAATTTTTGTCTGCGATGGCATCTATATTTTTCTAAGTGCTCTGAATCTATTTACTTTTTAATAAAACTAAATATCAGCCTGAGAAATCTCTGATATTTAGCGTGATGCAAAATGTGATCCTGAGCCTAAATGTCACATAACATTAATAATAAGAACTCTGAAATGTTTGGTATGATTGTGGTGCACTGCGGTGTAGTTGGTTCTTCCATATCTGCCATTGATACTCAGTGTTCCTCAACGTGAGGGGGGATGTGGTCTCTGCTGGGTACTAACACACTGTATGCTGAGGGATTTTCAGTACCTGACCAGCTGATGAGGGGCTTGCACAGTTCTTTCGGTAGCAGGCCAGAATCTGAGCACACTGGTTGATCAGAGTGTCTCTCACTGCTTTAGTGGGGTTGCTCAGGAGGCCTCGGAAAGCTGCAGCACACAGAAACAATAAAAATAAGCTGTTTTACACTGGAACCTATTACAATCTGCCCTCTTCCACCTTTCTGAACGAGGCCCGGCTTCAAACTTACAAAGCTGCAAACATTCATAGCAGCAAGCTATCGGGAACAGGTGCGGCTTTCTACTGTTGGCGAACTGGAGCAGCTGGGCTTTGCTTGATAGTATTTTTAGAAAATGTAACTCGTTCCTCCACTTGCACCTTATTCAGACTTTGAGAGTACAATGCTGAATGTGTACATTTGTACGGTACAAAAAGAGCCCCCCCACCCTGTGGCCCGACAATGAATAACCGTGAAGAAGAGATTTCGCTGTGCGAGCTGCTCCTCACCGTATTTGGAGAGGAAGTTGATGATTGTGTCGGTCTCACAATTGCGGTAGAGGTCAGCCAGCTGGGAGCAGCAGTTGACCGCCATGTTGTGGACGCGCAGACGCCGCTGGCCACTGCAGCTGGTGTACAGCACGGCGCACTGAAACAAACAGGACGAGCATTTCTCACAAAACAAACTGGCTTAGGCTAAGACTATCTTAAATTGGCTGATTCGGAAACTACAAATAGAATGCGTCTCCTCTCCTGAAAGGACTTTGTTGCGCACACAAACCTGCATGAGTGCCCCCGTCTCCTCGCTGAGCTTGTCATCGTGTTTGAACTCGACGGTGACGGCCTTGTCACAGTCCAGGCCCGCCAGCTCCACATCTGTGGTGTTACTCATGAAGAAGGAGCCGAAGAAGTCTGTCGCCCGGATACCTGAGGGGAGGGGGAGGCAGGAGAGGAAGGATCATGAAGTTAGTCGTCGCATATCTCTCGGGCCGGTGTTTTCAGTTGTTGTGGTTGTTTTCAGCCTCACCTGTGCTGGTTCGCACCCTCATGACGGCATCAAAGCCCACTAGTTTCTGAACGTCTCGTCTGAGGTCGTTCAAGAATCGCTCCGTGTCCGACTGAGCCTGGGATAAAGAAAACACACAATGAGTCA